TGTACATATGTATGTATGTAATTTACAAAAATTACGTGCGTACAAGTACAATGAGTGTAAAAAAATATTAAGTACACTCATTTAAAGAACTTATGAAAATTGTTTTTGAATAGTTTGAAATTATTATTAATAATTGTTTTGGTTGAGTGGTTTTTGCAATATTTACCGGGGACAATTAACTACATATTCTTAATTAATTATAACTTGTTTCCCATAACTCTCAAAAGTAAATAAGTACCTACGTAGGTATAATTGAAATCAATTTTCAATGATAACACAAAACAAACTCAAATATGTACTTCCAATTAATTTATAGCATTTAAGTGTTATACATGTTAAAAATCTCGTAGGTTCAAACAGTATAATATGTACATATGTATGTATAATAGAAAGGTACATACATACCTATGTATAATTTTCTTATTTCATTTTAGAACTTCAAAAAACACTTCACACATACATACATACATATATGAAGTGATGGAAACTTAATCTCATTTTGGCACAATTTTAAAATGAATTTTTAATTATAAAATATTTAAATACAATTCTCATAATATTGCCATTTGTAAATAATTTGTAGTCAAGTTTAATCACGTACAATATAGAATAAATTATATTAATGAAGGTTTAAAAAAAATTAATGGTGTTTTTGCTTAAATATGTGTGCGGGGTGTAATTTTACGTACATGTTTAATAATTATAGATATTATACATAGGCATTAGTGTTGTCGTTTGCGACTTAGCGATTTATACTACGATTAAGTGATTACGTCATAAAAATTTTTTTGAATGCTAAATAAAAACTTTTTGGGTTCAGACGGACATACGACTTTTAATTTTACAACTATTACTTAGTTATAAATGCGATCATACAGTTACATGAGTACGAGCTTAAATTAACAAATCTATGGAGAATAAACAAGCAATGTATTTCAGCACTATTGCAAATGTTCATTATATTAGTTAAAATTTTAAATTAGCTAATATACATATGTATGTATGTATGCATGTATGTAATTCAGCCCGTGTCCATTTAAAAATTTGAGACATAATTTTTTCACAACACTTGCAATTTATCAATTAATAATGCAAAGTTATCAATTTACCTTTTTCCGTCAAGATTTTAAGACAACAATAAATAACTTGTATATGTATGAAAAATGTCACTCCATTATTATAAAATTTTATAATATACTCCTCTTGTCTACAGAAATTTTACTCGAAACTTCTTACTTACTATTTCTTTATTATAACAGGCACGTTTTTTTTTATTTCACTTACTGTAACTGTAAATTATAATATGGTCGAAAATAAACGTATAATATGAAGTATTCCCAAACATACATACACACGTATGTATTTATGAAAAAAAAAATATAAAAAATTTTTATAATAACAATAAAAAACAACATAATAATATAATAAGAATAATATAAAAAGAAATAGAAAATACACAAAAAAATTAAGCGCAAAAATAATAAAAAAAGAAACAAACTCGAAAGTGGGTCATTGACTTGGTTAACATTTATTCGTGCTGATTGAGATTTTTTTTTTCTTTTTTTGCTCTTCTCTCTTCTTTTTTATTATTTTTTAAACGATTTTTATAATATTTTTTTTTTGTTGATCTCTTCTACTTGTTTTTTTTTTAGTATTGTTGTTTGTACATTTTTTTTTTATTACTAAAACTTTCGGAATTGAATAAATCAACTTTTCTCTTATTTTTCTCTTTTATTGTTTTTTGTTGTAAAAATTTTTTTTTTATGGACTAGTAGGTATTTAGTATGTGTGTATGTACATTAATTTATTTTTAAAATCATTTATCACAATATTGGAATGGAATGAATCAGTTGTTGTTGTTATTATTGATGTAGTGTTATTTTTTTTACTTTTTAATTTTAAATAATAAACTTTAAAATGTTTTGGATTTTAAAAATAATTTTTTTTTTATAGGGAAAACACAGAAATAAAGAAAGCAGAATAAAAAAAATAAAATAATAAAAATAACAAATTAAAATTTATGTTTAACATTGTGAATTTTTTGCAAAATATTTATTTTTGATTTTATTTAAATTTTAAATATTTTTATATTTTTGTTATTTTGAGTACATACAACATATGTATGTACATACATGTATTCAAAATGGTGATATATTTAGTGAATTAGTATCATTTTTTCTATTTTCTTTATTAATTATATTTGCAAATGAATCAGTTATAATTGGTAAAAGTGATTTGGTTTTATAATACATACATACTTATTATATTTTGTGTATATAAATATTTACAAATGTATTGCAAAACTACATACATATGTACCAACATATGTCCACGTACACGTGTACTTATATATAAAAAACGGAGTCGAACCACTATTAGATGAATCACCATTTTGAAACAAAATTACATTGTTAGTGTTAGAAAGAACGTATATTAAGGGTTATGGAAGATAAAATGTGAACTACATAATAATTTTTAAAGCCATAAAATTCTACAATACGAGTACAAAACGTTTGAAGTTAACATTAACACTGTTTTGATTTTGAGAAAATTTTATATTTTCTGATTGACATGGAAATTTTTTGTTCTAGTGGCAAAATTTCCGTTTATGGCCGCTTCGTGTTCAGGCGTGAAAAATAAAACACTTCGAATTAAAAAAAATTTCGACGTTTCGTGAGTTCGAATTGTAGTACACATTAAAAATTAATCAAGTAAATTGAAAAATAGAAATAAAATATTTTAAATAGAAAGCATTTACAAGAATTTTTATAAGTGTAATAAAAATAACAATTTGACAGCAAAGGGCGAAATATATTTTAAATATGCGTGATTGAATCTTTTGCAAAATCTAAAAAAGTTTTTATATTTTCGTAAGCGAGCTTAACATATTTTTTCTTTAAAAAAATTGCTTTTACATATCACCTATATGTATGTATATATAGGCGACATGTAAAATGTGACGTGAATCAGATTTTCTATTGAAATTCTTCGTTAGCTTATAAAATGTACATAAATTAATTTATAAGATATTTGCAATATGAATTTTATGAACTCTAATGTGCATTTATTATTTTACTATTTATTCTCTTATAAAAAACAAATAAATAAAAACAATTAAATTCTAAACACCAAATTAATTTTATTAACAATTAAAATTTCGAATTGCTTACCTCAAATGTCAAATTTTTTAAGTCGAATTATTTTTTTATAGGGTGTTTATTATTATATTTCTGTCCGTCTAAAATTGCAGTATCGTAAATTTAAATAAAATCTATAATTTCAAATTTCCTTGAAAAAATTTAGAACTTAAACATAATTTAGATTTTTGGACAATTGCCCGAAATAATTGTTTGTACAATAGTAGTTATGACGATATTATAAATTAATGTGGACAAATGTACATATATGTATGTAAGTGTATATGAACGTGTTATACAATAATATCAGACATCTTAAATGTTTATAGATTTATTATTATTAATTAATACACGTCTGAATATTCTTTATTTTATTTTTCTTATTCATAAATTAAAATTTGATTAATATGCGCTTATTAAAAATATCCGACATAATTGTATATGGTTATGAATTCATTTGAAATGTTAATTATATTATTAAAATTAATAACAAGTTTTATGAATAATAAAATTAATTATTTTTTACGTAACAAAAACAAACTGATTCATTTAATAAAATTTATTTTTCTCTATTTTTATGAAACTAGGTATTTAAAAAAAAAAAAATTTAAATTTTACTTAGGTAGCTTATAACTTTTTATATTTTATTATAGAACAATTTTTATTTTCGAAACGTGCTTATGAATTTTTAAATTTAAGTGCAAATTTGCATTTTTTTATTCAATTACAATATTCTTGTTTTAGTAAATTTAGAGTAAAGTCATTTTTATTAAACTAAACTAGATATTAATATTAAATTAGTATTAATTTTTTTTTTATAATTTTAAGTTTAGCATAATAAATTACTTAAAATATTGTGATGACATGTGCGGTTTTATTTTTTTTTTTTAGATTATTATTTTAAATAAATATATTTTACATTAGAAAATTTAAATTAAGAAACATAAAGTAAATTTTTATTATATTTAAGGCATATACGTGTGAATGTATGTAAAAAACATTTATGCACTTCTAAATGATAAGAATTTCGTGTAATAGACACGTTCAATTCAATAGAAGTAAAAAAATTATTTAATAATTATAACAATGATATTAAAACAATTTTATAATTTAAAGGTATGTGACCAGTAATATTCAAAAAAGAAAACTAAAATGTCTTATTAAAGTTAATAATTTCAAAATATAATTATAAGAAATTTGTTTTGTTGTTGAATTAAGTCAATGGCAGATCCCCAAATATTTATGCTTTGTCATTAACATTATTTTCAGTTCTCCTTCTTGTTGATTCTAATATAAAGCGATTTATCCCAAAAATTTTCATTTTTAGAATTTTGTTCATTTCAAATACAAATTGTAATTTCTTACAATTGTCGGAATACTAGCATTCTTTAGAATTATTTTCCTCTATATGATTTTGGTAATTTGCCATTTCTTTTAAGAACTAATATCTTGTTGTATACACCAGGCACCTAAAAAAAAAAATTTACGAATTACTCTTAGCGCTGCAAATTCTATAACTAACCCATTAATAACGTAAATTTTTTCATTATTTACGGCACAACATGTGGTAACTGCAATCTATTCAAATCTCAATTTTAAGATTTTTACTCAAAAATTGTGTTTAAAAATCGCCATGTTCTAAATTTATCTCAATCCCTTTTTGGAATAAATTTTTCTATTTACATGTTAAAAATGTTTCCGTTCTTCTTGAAATTACAATTTGCTATCTCCACTATTATCTGATATTATAAATAAATAAATTGATTTTTATTGTAAATTTGAAATTTATTTAATTATTTTTTAAATATTTTATGAAATTAATTACTAAATAATTTATTTTTACTTTGTTTTTTTTTATTTCAGGTGAGTCCAGTTTGATATTTTTTCATTGACAACCAATTTATAATATAAGTAAATCATGTAAGTCGAAAAATTTCTTAATTGTTTGTCAAAAAAATATAAAATTGAGTAAAACAATAATTCCTCTTTCAAAATATAAATTCTCCATTCAAAATTAAGAAGTAGACCATAATAATAAAAAAAACTGAGCAACTTCATTGTGTAAAGAATGTTTAAATTAATATTTTTTAAATTTCAAGAATTGAAAGATCGTAATAAATTTCGAAAAACATTTTGAAATAATTTGATTTGTTAGAATCATGTATACAATCAGCATTTTAAATGTACGATAAAACAACATAAAAATTCAAAACTCTTTAATAATAATTGTTGAGGAAAATATTTGTATAAGAAAAACTTTTTTAATTATTTCATAAAAAAAAAAATTAATATTTTATTATACGTGTAGCTCACACCTTTTTTCTTTTTATTACTTTTTTTCAGTATTACGAATTTCCTAGAAAATATTTTTTAATTGAAAAATTTTCTCCGTATTTCCCACTTTTTTCTTCTCTTGTTTTTAAATTATAAAATTAATATGAAAATATTTTATATAGAAATATTTATGCAATTTATTATTATACATATTATATTTTTATATTTATATGTACAATATGCAAATTATTTCAATACACGTCTCATGAATTCTGATCATATTGAATAAATCATAGTTGTATACGTACATACATATTTGTACATTCTAATTTATAAATAATTATTGTGATTTATTATAACAGCTGTCTACTTTAAACAATGACAATTGACAAGTATAATTTTAAATAATGTGAATATATATATTGGTATATGTGTTATATCAGAGTGTTATTAATGTTTTAATCATAATTATCATAACAATTGAAGAATATTAATATTCTTTCTATTTTAAATAATTATAACAATATTATTATGTATTATAATAATTGGAAATTTTAAAGAAAATAATATTAGAATATAATAATAGCTTTTGTGTCAGAGCCAAAAAATATACAAATTCTTAGAATAATTTAAAAAGTAATCAATTATTAATTAATAACAATCAAAATTGCAATAGCAATATAATATTGCAATTAATATTTAAATTTAATTTTTGAACAAATATTAAAATTATTACACAATTTAAATTGCTAAGATTTATATAGTGAAAATATTTCAAATAGCCCAATTAATTATTCCTTAATTTGAAATCTAATTTAAAATTATCGACTTCTTAATTAATTTAATCAACTCAAATCAAATTTTCATTTTATACTTTAAATCAATTGTCCAAATGTTAAATTCTTTAACCATTTCGACCCGGTTTTCGAATAATTTAATAGTTTACTGGTACATATATGTATGTACACAGCCGGATTGTGTGAAATTTTAAAACGATTCTAAAGAATTGCCTTAAGAAAATTTCTATATTTTCATGGAGTTTATTAAACTTATGCAAGCATCTGTCTGAACTCGATTGTAATCATAATTAAAGAATCTCGTTTTTACCTTCGTAATATTACTATATTAAATTCATTCAATAATAAAAAGTTGCACCCTTTAATAATAAATGAATGCATTCTATATTTCCACACCCACACATACTTTATACTTAAATGATATTATAACATTTTCATATGACATTTGTGCAATAAAATATAATTTCAATGTTTATTAATTATTAAATACATATACATATGTACCCATGTAACTTCATATGACTCGCGTTTTATCCCATTATTTATTAAAATATATACAAAGTCAATAAAGTGTACTGGTGTATGGTACTTAATTATATTTTCATTACATGCATTTTGGAATATGTAGACAACATGAATGCATATATATACTTGTATTATGTGTCAATATCATGTGTATAAGAGCTCTACTCGAATATACGTTTCGTGTGCCTCATATACTGCTATGCATATATATATATATATATATATATATATATATATATATATATATATATGTATACATATACGTACATAAAAATGTACTAAGTAGTACAAAATAATTCACTTTTTTACTTTTTTATGCATTTTAAAAATACAAATTTTCTTTGTAAAAGTGGGAAAACAAAATAAAAAATAAATTGTTTTCAATTTTAATAATTATTTACATTTATTCGTACCTACATATGTATGGATGTTTATATATGTACAATTTTTACTCTTTAAATATGAAAGATTCTAAAAATAAAAATGGAAAAAAATAAAATTACAATAAATGCCCCCCTAATGAGATTTTAAATTGTGTACAATTTACAATTTAAAGAAAGTTGTACATACATATATATGTATGTGAGTATGAGTATGTGGTGCATTAAAATGAAAATGTATATATTATGGGTGTTGTGTGTGCATTTCATACATACATGCTTTTAAATTACGTAATATATTTATTCTCAATTTTTATTTAGTAAGGGGCACTTTGCTATATTTATGCTATGTACGATCATATAAATGCCGTGATTTATATCCATGTATACCAGCTTATGTATGTATATGAATATACATATATGCAAATTTTAGAAAATCTATCCATATATGCATTAATTTTATATTGGTTACAGGCTCTCTATTATATAACACATATTTTCTTAATATCTTTTAAAATTTTCAAATTGCAGACTTACATATGTATATAACAGTAAATAGTAACGGTGTTTTATGATTATATTATTCTACATTATAATAATGTATGCACATTAAACACACGTACTCGTATATATATATTGTGTAAACATTTATTTGTAACTATTTATATTTTGTTTTTATTTATGAAAATTGACATATTAAAGTTAACCGTATGTAGTATATTTTAAATTTAGGTGCTCTAGGACTTACAAAGTTTAATTTCTATATATGTACGCGGTACCTGATATTTATGTACATATGTACAGTTTCATAAAATTAATTTACATATATACTTACATGTAAATCTTATTTCTGAGATTTCACTTAATTATTTCTGCTTTTCTCTTTCTAAACATAATGTATGCGAAGTATGTGTGTGTAAATAATCCGCACGTCATTTGTATTCCCTTCCGTTACTCTTATTCATACATTTAATTTATTTAAGTGAAATTTTAATATATGTATATGCATTATAGTAAGGCATGAGCTTAAAGTATGTATATACATTCATACATGTGTATATGAAATGCATTCATGAAACGATTTTTTTTTAAATAGAAAAAAATTTAATGCGAAACGATTTCTTTAACGAATTTTTAAATGAATAGTAATAACACTCTTATACGTTAAGCACATGTACATACTTACATACATTTTTATTTCCATTCATTTATGTATCAACTTTTGTAAATTGTCTACTTGGGAATACATTTAAGAATTTTCACTCAAAAATAGTAAATGCGATTAAATGAGTGTACATATGTACATAATAAAGTGCAGTATGTTTAAAATAAAAAAAAAAAATAAAAATTTTTAAATTATTTTCCGAGAATCGAAGAAAAATCGTACCAACAGTAATTTGAGATGTAATTTGTAAATATGTAATGCATGTATATATATACATATATATATTTAATGTGGAAAAGAATCTACTTAATATGACATAAACACATACTTATGAAATAAAAATGAAAAATCGAGTAATTTAAATTAAATTCTTAAAATTTTTTTTTAAATTAAATTCTTAAAATAAATATCGTATGTCCTTTATTTAAATGAAGATTTTTTTAAGTTTACAAATTGTGAGTACCTTTTTAATATTACAAGAGGAGTAATAATTATTTAGCAATAATATAGGTAAAGGAATGTTGTTCAGCACCATATCTTAAGGATGCAGAATACTTTAAAAATAAGAAATTTTACTTGGTTTTTTTAATGACTATTTTATAGTTTTTACATTCTTTTTCCGGAAACAAATTTAAAAAAAATTAAAGAAATTTTTTTTTTAATTATTTTTATAATATTCTTACTTATACTAATTTTTTTTACACAAATATGTATTTTGTATTTTTACAAATTTTCTATAGATGGGGTGACATTGTCTTTACATGCTCTAATATTAATGAAAAAATTATAGCTTGCGCTCTACATGCATCCTATAATGAAGGAAGATCACTTTATTTCTTTGGATTTTAATAAACTACAACTAACTTTATGACAAAAAGTAAAAATTGTTCGAATATTGTATTCTTCTTGTTTCTTTGACAACTATTTACAATTCTCGTACTTTACATAACACTCAAATGTAAATATGGCCACGTTATGAAGTTTTTTTTATAAAATTTCTCCTAAATTGAAAAATTTTCGTTTGCAAAATGTTTATTATAGTAATGTCAATAAATTTATATGTACATATTATGTATATATTTATTCTAAATTACAAAAAATATAGTATTCACATGTGCTACAATTCCTAAATATTTTATGTCTTTAATAAATAATACTTTAAAATTAATATTAAATATTTTTCTTGTAAATGCTAAAATATACAATCTTAAATTTAGCAATATAACAGTATTCATATGTATGTATGTATATTCACGAATATTATGTAGGTACATAATTATTCATAAATTTAATATTAAATTATTCTTTATTTATTATAACTTATATAATAACATGAAAATTAATATACACGTATGTATGAATGTTTTTAATTGTTTGTTATCTATAATTAAAAAAATAATTTAATTACAAATACAAACAAACAAAATACAATATTTAATATTGTATATAATAATTAATAACAACATTTTTAATAATAGAAAAAAAAATTGCAACTTACACATTCCTATTTTAATGATTTTCCATAAAAAAAAAATTAGGTTAAAATTTTTTATGAAAATCCCCCACATTTTTCTCTTCTTTATTATTTTATGACATAATAGACAGGCAATATAATAATAAATATATTGATATCATTTTATATTGCTCGAAACCATTAGTTTAGATTTCAGAATGTTGATTTTTCAATAAATTGAGAGACAAGACGACAACCAAACCAAGTATAATAGCAAAAATAGAACAATGAATTGAGTAGGATTATTGTTATTTATTGTTGTTGTTGGTTTCTTTTTTTCTGTCCCTATTTTTATTATTTTTTTCCCCATTTGCCATTTTTCTTTTAACATTTTGCTTTCTTTTTATAAAATAAAAAAATCTGTTAAATATTAAAAAGAAAATACTAAA